AGAGACACATCTCAGAAGAGAGTAGAGCTTAGAAATCGTAAAAAGAACAATAATATATTAAAAAAGACAAGTCACATATCAGAAAAAATAAATATAAAATTAACCTTAATTAATTAAGAGAGAGAGAGGGGGGGGAGAAACAACTAATCTCCATAAACTGCAGATTTTTAACCAGAAAACCGTGATAAGAAAGAAAATTAACAGACAAACGCTTTAAGCCTACTGACAATAACTTGAATTATTACCAAGTGTATTGACTTTACCAATATTCAATTTAATAGTTCAGTTATTGCCATCCTCTGCTCAATAATCAGTCAGATTATCAATATCTTCTTTTTGAGTCAATGAGTTATTAATCAATCAATCATTAAAATAATAAACATGTAATGTTTTTCTATAACTTTGGACTCAGATATGTGTGTATACACACATGCATGTGTATGCGTATTTTATTGTTGATACATTTAATATACTTTTCCCGCTACTAGAAGTTATTTTAGTATCACTTAATAGGAATGTGTTAGTCTTAAAAATAACATTTCACTTACTTTTATGATTAGGTATTTATTTATTATAAATATTTATGCTGATGTACATTATACGTTTGTTGTGTTATAGTGACTGACGAAAATGTATTTTTTTAAAAACCATGTCTTTTCAGGATGAGGGCGGTCATAGCACTCCGCATTTTCCTTTTCTTTAATTAGTGAATTGCCATATCTTTTTGGGGAAAAATAGTGGAATGGTTTTAAAGTTGACTTCTCCATGGTTTTGAATTCTGAGTCTTCCTTCTAGACTGGCTGTTACCAAGGTTCAATAGCCATGTCTACTTAGGTATTTAACCCGTAGCTAGGGTGGAGAGAAGGTATGGATTCAAGCCTTTTCGAAGTAAACTCATCAGACTCGGTGAGAATTTGAAATCGATTTGTAAATTCCAGTTTTAGCACATCTGAAAATATATTAAGTTATCAAAATTGAATATTGTATTTTGTCTTGTTGTTTAGATTTTCGATTCGAAGGATGCCATTTTTAAAAAATTTATATCCATGCTGCTTATTTAATGGTTGCAGAATAACAACCTAAAAGTTGCGGTAAAAAGCAACAGAAATAAGTTTAAAGAAATAATGTTACAATGTTAATCATAATTGCTCTCGAAGGATCTTGACAAAATATTACATCGATAAACTCTATAATATTCTCTCGATGAATATTGCAAACTATGTTCATTTTTAAAACGATTTTTGCTTTTTCACAATCAGATTTAGTCATAAGCAAATTATAACGGAATTTCAGTAAAGTGTTTTGCTGTTTATAAAATTTATTACCATTTTGACCTTTGGACCGAGTGTAAAATAAAAGATAACGTGCTTTAGTAATCTATTGTTATCGTTTCCGAAGCAGTTTCGAAAAAAATTTTGTTGTCTAACCGGTATAATAAGTTGTAAAATAGTATTTTAAATGCATATTCGGAAGTGTGCGACTGATATTTGTCAATCAAGATATTTTCATTTATCCAGTACTTGTCTTTTCTTCCCGAAGCAGGTATTATGTGTTTACATTAGAGAAGAAAAAATATCGATGCCTTTAACAATATAAACGCTGTCAACTTCTCTCAGCATACATTGACAAGAATATAAAAAAATCTATGTTTTTCCTTATTGCTGTCAAGTTTTAACTTCAGAAAGCATTTATGATTTTTTTAGTAGCCAGTTCTTTAGAATTCTGTTCTTGCGATAAGAAATCAACATTCTTAGGTAAGATTTAATGCACAAACAAGAACAAAATCTTGCAGTTACTAAAGTGGTAATCACTGGCCGAAAACGTAATTACGTTGGTAAGGAATCTATTTCCTATTTTCAAGGTTATATGAAATAGAATGCGTTTATTAGAACAATTAATAAAGCAGTAACCAACGAATTAATTGCAGTATTGAAACTTAAATTACTCACTTATTTCAACGAATGTGTAAACATCCTAACAATGTTGATATTGTATTTTTCAGTAACAGAGTTTATTTGATAAAATACGCTTTCATCAAGAAAAATCTTTATTCTATTAAAATTCATTACACATTACTTAAATTATTCGGATTGTTATCCTCATCTTCATTCCCATATTCACACCGTATCGACCGTTGTACGCTCCGGCCTTCTTCAGGTGATTTTAATCTCAAACCGAACCCTTTATTTCGTCCACCGATAGATTGTTCCAGTTCCACGTGCCAAGTTATTTCCCTCAACTTTCCGAGGTTTTCGGTTCATCACTGCTGTTACCTGGTACTGAAATCACATGGATCTAATCAACGCCTTTATCCACTGGGCCACGTGTTCTTGAGGACAACTGTGTATGAATTTTGGGGACTTATAAGCCTCTTTTTTTTTTTTACCAGTGATCATATTTCAATTTTTCTATTATTATTATGGCATTTGTTACCAGAGCTTATATTGTAATTTTTTGTTGTTATTCATTGATTTTCTTTATCACTCCTTATTACTATTTCCCATTCATTTCTATGCTTGGCCGGCTCAGGAGATTTTTTATGGCCTAGTATATGTACTGATTACTTAAGTTTTCGTATTTTACAGTGATATTTTCTGTTTATTATTTCAAACATCCCGTGCAGCTGTGGTAAAAAATATAAAGGCAAAACAGGCCGCACCCTTAAAGTAAGACTGCAAGAACATCGTAAAGCAGTAACATGAGGGGAAATAGAAAAATCAGGTGGAGCTGACCACATATGGAGGGAAAAGGGAGACAAGCGGCCTTTGTGGGATGAGGTTTGCTATATTAGGAAGTAATGCTAGCTGGTGGTATGTAAGACGGGATTTCGATGAATACCACAATATATGCTATTTATTGAAGCGCTATAAAATAATAATTATAGTTTCTGAAGAAAGCCGAAAATTGCTAAGTTGTTTTAAGAATCAACCGCCTTCTTCCTCTACGTACTATTTTTTAGTGAGAATTATGTTTTAGAGTTTTCATTTTACACAGAAATTCATGACAGTGATTTTAAAAGTGAACTTTTAAATAACATTTTCGATGTAGGAAGTACGGTTCTGTGAAAGGAGGCAAACATTCGGAAGAGTTTGAGAGCTTTGAATCAATATTATTATTATTATTATTATTATTATTATATATATATATATATATATATATGATATGAAGATTTATGTTAGGAAATTTCTCTGGAAAATATCTTACGTGTGTTTAATTTTCTTATGATATTTTTGAGTTTTGATGCTTTTTCGAGTAAACAACTTGTTAGCCATTGTACTGTTTTCCCAACTATTCTATCTAACACATACTGAAATATTTTATAATTTTTAAAAAATTATTTTCATTTTAATAAATTAAATCTCAACTTTATCGGATTTGATTTTTATTTGCAATTCAGCTTATTTCTAATTTTTTTCGAGATCGTTTCCTTTTTCATCTCTTTAGGATTCACATGCCAATTTTGGCTTTCACGGTTTAATATTGATTTAGTTGTCATTTTATGTTTGTATTCTATAATATAATACAAAGAAAAGAATTTTACGAGCAAATGTGGTAATGTCAAAATGTGCTGTCAAAACCATTATAGGCAAATAATCTGGTACCTTAAATTGTATTCATTATTCGCTTATTCGCAACAGTATGCATTACATGTACTGATCTCTAAACATGGACAGACAGTATTAGGTTAATATTGATTATCAGCGCAACCAAATGCATTAACAAAATTCAATGTGTGAAAACTGGTTGCTTTTGTAAAAGAAATACTTATTTCTATTTAATAGTATCCATTTTAAGTAAGTAGAGGATTACTAAAAAAAATACAATGGACAAATCCAGTTGACCTTAAACTTCAATTCATTGACCAAGTTTTTAGTATTCATACGAATGTGCTCTCAAGTATTTTCAGGCATTGTGTAAAAGTAATTCTTTTTAAATCTACAGTTATTGTTCTGTCGATGATAATGATTGGAACAAGGAAAAGGAAACCGATGTAAATAATTTAGTAGACAATTGAATAAAATTGAATGAAACTTTAAATCGAAAGCAACCACAGCTATATTATATTTGTGATTGTCAGAGTAATAAACCGAAATCTTGGATATGATATCAGAAAGAAAAGCCAAATAGAAATCCGAAAGCTAATTAAGGCCATTGAAATCATAATACAAATTAATAAGACAGAAATACAATGAAGAGATGAAATTCTTTGGAGATGGGACACTAAATTTCAACAATACCGACGATGAATATTTTATTGAATAAAATAAAGAGACAATATAATGTCTCTTGGTGCTTGTCTGCGGATGAGATAGTTGTTTATCGGTCAGAGGTCAGTCTTCGAACATAAATTGAAATGCTCTTTTTTAAGGCAAACAGACCTTCCTTATTTAGAAGATTAATCCAATAATGTCTTCAAAATTCCAGTTTTCTTTTATTAAGTTTTAAACAGAATTTCTTTCATCGTATTTTTAGCTGCATTGCTTAGAATAAGTTGCTGGCGCGACTAAAACTATTATACCTTTATTTTGGGAAGAGTATAATCAGAAATGCCTTCTCCAAAATTAGTGTATATCGCAAATTAATGCACTATAGAAACAAAGAAGTAGCCCTCAAGACGCCCACGCATACTGATGTACCTCAGTTGAATCAATTATGGTGAAAGTATTAATGAACATTTATATTAACTAGGCTCTCGTCGTTTTATGAAAATCAACACTTCACAATTTGGATTTCGGCCTGGAAATTTTTGGTTGGTTGTTTTTATTCATCACATTCTATGGGTTATTTAATGACGAAATCTAAATACTTTGCATGCATTTTTTGTGGGGGAAGATAATAATTGTTTTTAGTGATACAATTCTGGGTAGAAGAGATGGATTCATATCTTTCCCAAGGTATTAGCACGTAAGTGAATATAACGAACCCAACTGGAATTGGAACTTGACTCTCCGATTAACGATTCCAAGCCATTATCCACTACACCACCCGCACATTCAAGCTTACTGCACATGATATTCCCAAACGTCCACCCATCTAGGGACTGGTCATGCTTGACGTTGCTTAACTTCGGTGATCGTACGGGAACCGGTGTTTCCACATTAGGTGGCCGTAAGCTTCGTTCTAGTAAGGGGTGTAATGATCGCACATATATCATCAAACTCCAGGAAATTGTATATCTGCTATGTTAACCGCCCAACAGTATATGACCACATCAATAGCTACTCCCATTTTTCCACCATTAGAAGTCGATTTTTAAGTTTCGAATCCACTGAATGCATCGATCTAATAGAGGAAGTTTATCGATCTACAAAGTCTCATGTCTGGCGAGGACCCTAACAAGGGAATATTTCAAATCTCATCAGGAGTACAAGGAGGAAATGAGAACCCCAATCTATTTAAGCGTTTCCTAGCCTATGACTTGCGCTTTTACACACATAGATGTGAAAAGATGCACACTCACCATTTAATCATTACCTACAATATCTCCAAAGAATCTATCAATAGAAGAACTATCCTGCTATCCCGCTTGAGGCCAATGAATTGATGATGTGAGGAACCCGTGTATGCCTGGTGACATAACTATTTATAGTTGGGAGAAAAATGATCTTGGACAGAAAAATCAACATCCTCTACCAAGGTTTTCAAGAAATGGTAGCCAAAATAAATGTTTCCAAAACAGAAATAATGATTTAGGAATTGGAATGAAAGCAGTGATGACCCATGCCCAGATTAAATCATAAAAATGAATATGGAATTAGTAAATACCTCAGAGACCTCGGAGTATGGTTTGGTGATAACAAATTCAATATAGAAGATAAAGAAATTGAGCATAGAATAGACTGCACTAGGGGTAGTTTTCCCCAATGCCACAAATTGCTATAAAACCAAAAGATTAACCTGAAAACTTGATCCCTATTTTTAAATAGCCTCGTCAGATCGAGATTTTCATATGGATGCCATTGCATGATGCCGTTCAGAAATAGCTAAACAGTCAGTTGTATACAACCGCTTTCTAAGATCAAAATGTTTAAAATGTTTTCGACGAATGAAACCTATGATTCTTAAAACCTTGTGAATTGTTGCTACAGAATCCCAAATTCAAAGAGAAAATTCCACACTATTTCAAATAAAAGTTTAGGACGGAAACCTCCATCAATTCTAGAAAGAGCGATAAGAGCTACTGGACTTGAGAAACCTGTTCTCCCGACAAATTGTTTTAAGAGAAAGATTTTATAAATTTCAAACAACGGTAGTACTGGCTGCTCAATCAATGAATGCTGATGGGAGTTGAATGACCCGATGAATGCTTGCGATGATTTATTAATATTTCTTTCATATTAATTTTAGTTATATGAAAGAAATATTAATAAAAAATGAATAATGGTTGAAAATACTTCATCTAATAAAAAGTCAAAATAATTACCCACTTCTCCCTATTTGTCCTTGTGTCGTATCAAGCTTCATAAATATCAATCGTATAATTAAATTAAAATAAAGAGTCTTGTATTTGACAGTCTTTTTCATCCAGTTAACATTATTCGGAATTAGAAATGAAATAGCACGCTTCAGGCAAATCATTATCATTAATTCTTCGGAAGATCTTGTGCTTCAACTGAAACAACTTTAAGGATTTCCATTTTCAACATAGGATTTTAGATAGTAAATTTTTCTGGCCAAAATATTTCTTTAAAAGCATTTCTTAAGATTTTAAAAGGTTTCACTAAACAGTGCAGCCAAATTGACAACTGCCCTCAAAGATTATGTAGATTAAAATAACTGACATAAACAATGAACTCCAACATAGAAAATATTTTAGCATGCAGACACATAACACTTATTCCATGAAAGGAAAGCGATTTCATCTGAGAGGTTCTTATAAATCATTGCTAACACAATGATGATGATCAGAGTAGATATTTGAGAGACTTTGTGCGTATCAGTAATACGGCTGCTTTTCTTTCCTTATGTAAATAATATGTGAATATATGTGTATATCAACAAAAAAGAAAGAAGGGGAGTGTATATATTTTTCTTCATGCTTTATCTTTTCTTTCATACTTTCATTCCTTCTTTGTTCTTTCTATTTTTTTTTCACTCTTTTTTGGGGGTGAAGATAAACAAACCAGGAAATGTTACCTCAGAATTATTGTAGAATGGCGTCTGTATGACCGATTTAGTAGAAGGTCGAAGTTCACTGTCCATTCTTTTACTACTGGCATTGTGTCAGAGAATCGAGGCTCCAGAAATATTTTTTCAGAGAAAAATGTTCGAAAAACACTCTATACATGAAAATACACAATGCATATATACATGCCAATAGGTTAAGACAGATTTACATACACCAAGACATAGGTGCATATGTGAAAGTGATAACGGAGTGTATCTTCACTTTTCATTTTATATTATCCTAACTCCAGTATTTGAAATAGTCAATGGAAATGAAGTACACAAAATAAACTACAGGTTATCGGCAACAATATAAACAGGTATGTATTGGAAAGGTGTTGGTACTTAATCATTTTAATATGCTCTGAATTTTCGTAAACCAGTTTCTTTTTTTCTATAACTTAATATTTTATACTGCCTTGATATATCATATAATTCAAACTTCATAAATATACGGCCATTTATTAATTACTATTTATATTACAGACTTTCGTAATTAATTTTCTGTAAATGATTTTAGGCAGTGTCTGTTCTTGAAGTGAACATGCTTTATCCACGATAAAATATCAGCTAAACATTTTCAGTAGAGAAAATGACTAAAAGAATATGATATATAAATATTCGGAGGGATAAGGCACTCACGTAGAAAAATAAAATGCAAGAAAGAATGCAATGAACGGATAAACGAAAAAGAAAAATTGAAAAAAAAAATAAAAGAAAAAGAACTAACCAAATAATAAGAAACCGAAAGAAAATACTTCGTAGCCATTGGCGATAACTATTTTTATGTATTTGTTTTTTCTTTTTCATTCACCGAAAAGATTGGCTTTTATCTTTATCTTGTCTTACTTCCGGTATTCCTTTTTATAACAACGTTTTTACTTAAATGCTTTAATTGGCGTTAGCAACTCATTGTCAGCCGCTCCCATTATATCGCACTATTCTGCGATCATTTCTTTGTGAACAGAAATTTTAAGCGTGTCTTAGGTGGTAAAGCTGAAGTGGTTGTATCGCTCATCTCGTATTTTTCTAATTGCCAACTATTCATTTACTTAGAAAAAAGGAGAAACATACGTTCGTGCGCACACATATATACACACACATTCACACACACACATGTGTGTGTATGTGTGGGCATGTACTCGGACGAGATACACTTTTCACTTGTGGTCAGTCAGGTCATATCAAATTTTGCATTATCAATCCTATTTTTAACACAGAAAACGGAAGCAAACTTAAGAAAAACGCCCAAAGACTACATATTTAGATTATGTTGAAAAGAAGCATTCTCTTCAGTACCTGCTTTGGAGGAAATGAGCGCCATCTGGCTTTGTAAAAGTTTCCCAAAAAGAATTGACTTTTCTGTTCTTTGGTTGTGACCGTTGCTCTTTTGAGTTGTGCTGTGAAGAAGGTTGTAAAATCTGATTAGAAAAGAAATGATTTACTTATCACAGGATTCTTTCCGGTCACTAAGGGAAACCCAGAAGAAAATCAGGAATTACACAATGGACGGAAGGATAAGTAAATATATATTCAAAGATATAGTAAAAAGAAAAAAAAAGAGTAAGAAACACGAAAAGAGATAATAAAGTGTTGATAAAAGATTATGTGCGCGAATGTGTAAACTGTGTGGATGTGGGAATGTTTACAATGTTTATATCTTATAATGATAAGCTTTATTTTTAGTAGGTACGTGTGTTTCACTTGTTATCCCCGTTCTATTTTACTTTCTTAAACAGTAAAATTAATAACAACCAACAAACAAATAAAAAAAAAAGGAATAGCAACTCAAACAAGTGTACCCATTATTTTAATATTTTTTCTACGTGAGTGTCTTCTTTCTCCGAACATTTATCTATCATATTCTTTTAGTCATTTTCTGCCCTGAAAATATTTATCTGATATTTTATCGTAGATAAAGCACATTCATTTCAAAAACAGACACTGCATAAAATCATTTACAGAAAATTAGTTACCAAAGTCAGTAATATAAATAGTAATTAATAAATGGTCATGTAAAAATAAGGTTTATACTCATAAGAAATAACGTCGAAGAAAAAAATTCTTTAAAAAAATTACTGTTGCTTATGTTTCGTGTACAAAATTGAAACTAGCAGATATAGATTAATAGAAATTGCGCTTTCCTTAAATAGGTAATTGAAAGCTTGCTCTGTTAGGGTGATCTCTGTGGCTAAATGCGGTGTCCCTGATGGAAAAAAAAGGATACAGGTTCGATTCCTGTCGGATCTCCAGCTAGACCGGTTGTTATTAACGTGACTGTTTAAGAATAAGAAGAAAAAAATCAGGGATAGCAACTGAAACAAGTGTACCCACTAAAATAAGGTTTACGGTAATAACAAATAATAAAAAAGTCCTTTCAAGAATGATTGTTTATATCTCCTGATACTGAGCACATTTTCTGTATACGCATAGGTCATTTTAAACACAAACACACACATTTATATATATATATATATATATATATATATATATATATATATATATATATATATATATATATATATATATATATACACGTGTATCTATGTATGTATCAAACCATTCTATAATTATGTCTGTATACTTTTAACACTTTGTATATCCCGAGTCATCTCTACAACCATAAATATATATGCATATATTTGCACGTATGTAGGGAGCATAACACAAAGTGATAACGAAAATTTTGCAGGTGCAATATATTCATAATATATGAATAGAAGTATTTATACACAGCAATCCACATTCTATTTATCTATCCACCTATCTGAGGATACATACATACATGTCTCTCTCTCTTATATATAAGAGGGTGTGAGGTTAGGTAAACTGAGATCATCAACTCTTCTGAAGAAAGAAAAGTTAGAACTATTGAAGTAGTAGGTCAGTGATTATTTCGACGAAGATGAAAATAACGTCATATTTTTTCTTCAGTCATTTCTGG